TTGGATTTTCCAAAATCATTATCCAGTTGCTTGACAAACTGTTTTACCATAATGATTTTGGAAAATCCAAAATCATATCCAGTTGCTTGAGTAACTGTTGTTTTTTTTTGTACCTTATTACCTGGATTTCTAACCTTCACTGACATCAGGGAGCTCTGAATACAAGAGGGCCAGAAAGGGTCTTGAATTGGTCTTCTTTGACAGGTGGCCTTTTTGGGCAGGTTGCTGATACAAATGTACAAGTGATTGCCAAAACGTCACGGCAAGTGAGTGGTAAGCAAGAAGCAGGCAGTGGTCAAATGATTTGCCTACCAATAATTTGCATATGCCTACCAATAATCGATGCAAACAAAAACAGCGGTTGCTCGTATGGGAAAAAATTGGGACCATGAAAAGGTGGTTGTTATGGCTAAAAGTTACTGGCTTAAATAGGTGGCAATTTTGGCAGGTTAGATAGCTACAAAGCTACTCACTCCTATAAGTACCAACAATTTCCTGGATTTGTGGAAAATGAAATGTTTTGATATGAAGTTATGAAGATTAGAAAGATGTCAGTTATGGAGAAAATATCACAATCCTTCATTTCATTTCATTTCATTTCATTTATTTATCCAGGTGATACATATCGCCTTGTCGGCGTTTTTCAATGATACCTGGTGGTAAACCCCAACATAGTAAAATACAAACAAAGTAACTGAGGATGAAATACACAATAATAAATAAGAAGAAAATAATCACTATATACAAGTGTGCAATTAATCATAAGGTAACATAAAGAATCCAACCAAACCAAAACTTGATTACATGATTACTCCTGTCATTTCTCTCCATCAGTGTCCTCAGATGACCCCGACCTGCACAGCTGACCTTCCTGCCAAGGTCAACTTCAAGTGGTCACAACAGGTGTGTGCATTATTGTGTAATACTCTAGATTACTTACGTTTCCATGACACATGTCATATTGTATTATCACGACCCCAGGTGCGGCCATAGGACTGTAAGGTTTGAACCACTCACACCAGGAAGGTCCCTTGCTCTTTTTGATAAGTGTGATGGGATCTTTAACGTGCGTGGGGTGTGTCTCTCCCAAAACATGGGACCTCCATTTAACGTTCTATCTGAGGGACATCCCTAACCAAGGCTAGACCTGAGTGAAGTGAGGAAATTCATGTTAAGATCGGTGACGTCAGGCAGGATTTGAACCCTCTTTACCTCTTGGGCCCGAGCCGAACACTCTACTGTTACCTCACATTACCCCATATTTGTATCTGTATCATCTTCACCTCTTTGTAAGAAACAGGAGGAGCCAGTAAAAACCCTTCTGGTCCCAGGCCGGGGTTCGAACCCACGACCAAACCCGGGCACCGGTCCACAGGCAGACACTCTAACCACTCGACCGAAAAGGTCTAGGCCCGTTTACCGGATCAGTTGGTAGCGCCTACAAACATCATCATCGGTCGACCGTATTGGTCGGGGTTATACCGCCTCCTACAAACACCCCACTGTTACTACTCCCCCTTTTCTTTTCAAGATTCGTCCTTGAATCTTCCGAATTCTACATCCCTGGAGTGGCACTGTTTGCCAGAACTCACAGTGTGGGAACCACTGTAAGAAACAGGAGGAGCCAATAAAAACCCTTCTGGTCCCGGGCCGGGGTTCGAACCCATGACCTCCCGGGCACCAGAGCTTCATAACCAGACGCTCTAACCGCCCGGCCGAAAAGAGTGAGACCCATCGGCCGGGTCAGTTGGTAGCGCCTATAAACCCCCCACATCTTGTCTTGTGCGGTTCAGGACAGTCTGCAGGGGGTCCTGCAGCAGTTTGAGAAGGCACTGGCCCAGCACCAGGACTTCTGGGATACCATGGAGGAGCTGGACAGGAGCACCTGGGTCCTGGAGCCGGAGAAACCCTCCTACAGGGACACGGTCAGGAGGATAGCTCTGGGTGAGTTACTGTACAAACTCTCCTACAGGGACATGGTCAGGAGGATAGCTCTGGGTGAGTTACTGTACAAACCCAGTCCTACAGGGACACGGTCAGGAGGATAGCTCTGGGTGAGTTACTGTACAAACCTCCTACAGGGACACGGTCAGGAGGATAGCTCTGGGTGAGTTACTGTACAAACCCTCCTACAGGGACACGGTCAGGAGGATAGCTCTGGGTGAGTTACTGTACAAACCCTCCTACAGCAGGGACACGGTCAGGAGGATAGCTCTGGGTGAGTTACTGTACAAACCCTCCTACAGGGACATGGTCAGGAGGATAGCTCTGGGTGAGTTACTGTACAAACCCTCCTACAGGGACACGGTCAGGAGGATAGCTCTGGGTGAGTTACTGTACAAACCCAGTCCTACAGGGACACGGTCAGGAGGATAGCTCTGGGTGAGTTACTGTACAAACCCTCCTACAGCAGGGACACGGTCAGGAGGATAGCTCTGGGTGAGTTACTGTACAAACCCTCCTACAGGGACACCGTCAGGAGGATAGCTCTGGGTGAGTTACTGTACAAACCCTCCTACAGGGACACAGTCAGGAGGATAGCTCTGGGTGAGTTACAGGGACATGGTCAGGAGGATAGCTCTGGGTGAGTTACTGTACAAACCCTCCTACAGCAGGGACACGGTCAGGAGGATAGCTCTGGGTGAGTTACTGTACATTAACCCTCCTACAGGGCCACGGTCAGGAGGATAGCTCTGGGTGAGTTACTGTACAAACCCTCCTACAGGGACACAGTCAGGAGGATAGCTCTGGGTGCGTTACTGAGCGTGTTGCCAGAACGCACTGCACCTGCATGAAACCCGTAATGTATTGTGCATAGCACTTTGGCAGAACGTTTCATATAAGGTCGTATTCACGTATACAAGGATAACATTCTGTCTGCGTAGTTTCCAAAGGTTATGTCGGAACAGAATCATCTGCAACAGCCAAAATTATGATGCAACAGCAATGTTGACCAAAAATCCGACGAAAACCATGAAAAATCAGTGTTTCGTGCAGGTGTAGTACGTTCTGCTAATGTGCTGAGAGAGATACTGTACATGTGGTATAAAAACTGCACCTTGTCTTTCGCCCCTGTCATACATAGCCGAATATGACCTCCCAAATACTGTATCCAGGCTTTACATGGATACTCTGTATTGGTTAGGCAACAGGGAGAAGGTTAAGGCATGTTGTAGTAATATTGGCCAACCCATGCTTGAGCACCTGGGTCCTGGAGCCGGAGAAACCCTCCTACAGGGACATGGTCAGGAGGAGTTGTGATGGTACTGTTTGTCTTACTTACACAAGAAATTTCAATGACTATTCATAACTTTAAGATGTCCCAAAAGTCCTCAGATACACTTCCATGCTACCTTAACCTTCAGCCTACTAAGGTAGCCATCTGCCACGAAATCTGTATTGGTAATGGGGATAGGCAGTAGGGAGAAGGTTAAGGTTAAGGTTAATCAGTACTATAAAGTAATTTGCTTTCACTGTGGTCTTATTTTGCAGTAGGAGGTGAAAAGGAGGTCTTCAAGTTCGTAGTTGAGAAAATTCTTTAGTTCAGAATGATTACCTCCTTGCTTAGCCTCTACCAGGCTTCAGACATTGGCCAAATGGACAGATAACTTACCAGGGGAGTTGCCAATTGGTCCTTCAAGCCCAAAAGAGTACTGTTGGAGTGGCAGACTGTACTCCTCTAGAGGAACTGCTCTTCCTCTAGCATGTTATCTATCTCTCTTACTGACGTTGTACTCATTCCAGCCACTTCTGAAGCCTGGTACATTTGTAGAGGCTAGCTTTCCTTTTAGCGGCCGCACCCAAGAAATGCAGGGTCTGAGTGACCACGCTGGCCAGCATCTGTTGTAGATTACACAGAGTAGTGTCGCTTGTCCCCCCTTCGTATGGGGGGACCGTTCGTTAGCTATGCTAAACAACAAATAAAGTACTAGTAACTCTTTATCTTAGTCGTAACAGACAGAACTTGTCACTGCTTCACTACAGGAAACAACGCCTCGGTGCAGATCACTGTTGACCCTGCCCATCCCAGGATGCTGCCTGAGTGCAGGTTCCTAGGAGCTGATCACGGTAGGTTCATCTGAGTCCTTACATTTCATTTTTTTTTTTTCATTTATTTCTTTATTTCAGGCATAACTCGCCCATATACAACATACATATAAAATACACACACAATTACATCAGTAAAAGAATAATATGACTATATGTACAGACGGGCCCAGTTATTGCGAAAGAATCTGCTGCGGAATATCACTTTAGATTTAAGAACAGATTGGATAATGTTGTTTGAGGAGACGGGATATGAATGGAATCCCTTACAAACTAAGGGATTCCATTTTGGTAACACCTCCTACAACTCCATCTATGCTTGTGTTTCCCTAGATCTATCATACAGTGGGTCTTGCTGCCACCATTGTCACGACATACATGTAGCTTTAAACAATGCCTACAGTTAGATATGGAAAGGTTAGGTGTAACAAGTTATTTGGTGCAATGTAGCCAGTGCTGCTGAAGATGGTGACTGTTACCCTAAAGGGTGGATACATTGGCTATACAGATACATATGTTCTGACAGTCCTAACCCTAACTATTTTGAAACATAGGGTTTTCCGAACACAGGCTCTTAAAAAGACAAATTGAAGCATGCGCATACATGTACCTGGTACAATGTAGTTAGCATAGTATAATGAGGTCATGTAAAGAAAATTAAACATTACTGTAAGTTGTAGAAATAAGGAAAAAAGAGATGTAGGTTATACTGTATGCTTTTGTGTCTAACACAGCTTGTTGACATCATGTAATGGAGACCTAACACAGATACTCCCTTTCCAGTGATCAACCCAATGAAACAGAGTCTGAACACCAACCTACACTACTGGTAGGTAGTTGCCTGGAATCCGTCCGTGAATGCTGTGTATCTGCTCCATTCCTCTGTTCCTGCTTTCGCAGAGAAACTGAGCAGATACAGAGCGTTCACAGATGGATTCCAGGCGAGGTAGGTGGATACAGAATTGAACCTTTGTTGTATCTAGCATACATCCACGACAAGATTTGGCATTTAGCCAAATAACAAGACACACACTATCCACAAATATCCACTGTAGTGTCTAGACCAGTGACAGTGTTTTGTATAAAAGTTTTCATATAGCAGTTGTCAATTTTATAGTGTATAAAAACAGTTGGACAGGTGTCAAGGAAAATGGATCCATGTTTGCAGTGGTTTTATGTCAGAGAATATGAATGATCATTTCTGTCAACTGACAAAGTGTTCCAATTACTCCCCTGCACACAGGGACCCAGGACAGACTCTCTTAGCAAATCTACAGAATGTTCTTGAAGTGGAGTTTCCCTCTCCAGCAAACACCAGCAAAGAGGTGAGATGAAACAAGTGTCTCCTCAGTCCTTCAATCCATCATTAGGCTAGTACATACACATATCCAACACGAACAATAAATGTTTGAAAGAAAGTTCATCTGTGACAGTGAATAATGTTATATCACAATGTCTGTACACAAAAGTTAAGTGCTGAAGTAAACATAAAAATTATGAATAATCAAGCTTTCATAAAAGTTCATCTGTGTTGGTAGTTACAATGTCCCTTGTCCCAACACAAGAGATTGTTATCACGTAAAGTTTTCAACCAGTTGAATAGTAAAGCTGGTTTGCTTGTTTGTTTGCGTACTAGTATCATCAAAGAAAAGTAAGATAATGAACATAAACACAACAAAAGAAGTAGATTCTACAATCATGGAGTTCAGAAAGGTACCAAAGAGACAGTTTCATTTCCTTCCAACTGGAAAGGTGTTCTAATTATGCTTAATATCTTGACTACGAATACCACATGTTTTCATTGCTATGTGTTCCCAGGACTTTAACCTGGCCTGCAGCATATGTTATGCCTACCGACTTGGCGAGGAGATTCCTGACAAGGCGTGTGACGATCCACGATGCAGCAGGCCATTCCACGCCACATGTCTTATCGAGGTGTGCTGTTAAATGTCAACTTTGTCATTTTGATTGCTTTAAGGGTGCTACTAGTAGTAGTGTGTTCAAGTAGTGTTAAGCCACTGTCACACATAGTCGAATGTGTTAAGTTGATCGGATCCTTCTTTCTTGCCCATTTGGGCTGATGCAGTTTAAAGTTCATGGCAAGAATCATTGCTTTTAGCATTCCTTAACACTTAACAGCTGGAGAAATGGAACAACTACAGCTACATGCTACACTACATCTATCATTCACAAAATAGCCAAACATGTAAGGCTATGCTATGCAAATAAATGTATCATTTACACTTCACAGTGTCTCGTAAGTCACTCATCTTAAATCAGGTGTATGTGAACTCACATACATGCACATGTAGTTCAATGTTAACTTCATTTTGATTGCTTGTAGGGTACCAGAGGTGCTCTAGTAGTTAAGGGCTGTTCAATTCACACTGTATGTTGTAAGGGATCTTTCATGCACAGTAGTATCACTTAAATTTCCTCCTTTCTATATTAGTTCTTTGTTCTCTCTCCTCAAAGTACTAGTATTGTTGTCATAGTCATTATGTTTCTGTTTCAGTGGCTGAGGGCACTGCCGTCAACTAGGATGAGTTTTAACGTCATCTTTGGAGAGTGCCCTTACTGTAGTAAGGTGGGTAAACACTGCATGTTTCTTCTTTTCAAACATTTTAGTTCTTTTATTCATCAGTAATAAAGATATAGAGACAACACTGCAGACAAATGCTTATTTGGTAGAATAGAAAAATACTTGTTTGAGCTAGTCTCCACTAGACTCCTTTGCAGGTTGAATAAATAGTAGAAATCGGCCTAAAAAGGGGATATAATTGGCCAGAAGAGATAGCCGGCCATAGAGGGTTCAGTTTGCCTGCAAGAACTGGACCCTCTATGGCTGGCCATGTTTGAGCTAATATAAGATAAAAGATACAGTAGAGTCAGGGTGGAAATACTACTCATACTAAAAGACTACAATGCAGTAAGTTATGTTTGATACTCAATACATGTATTGTTTTCACACAGTCTATCACAGTGAAGATGACGGGGGCCAGATAGCAGAAGGCACAGATATATGCAGAAGCCGGAGTTTTTCACACCAGTCTACATTTAGGCAATAGCTCAATTGGTAGAGTGCTCACTTTGTAACCAGGAGGTCGTGAGTTCAAACCCCAGCCGGGTCATACCAAAGACTTTAAAAAAATGGTACACACTTCTTTCTCTCCTTACTCCTTAGCACTCAGCACATATGAGAAAGGGTGTGGGAAGGTCTCAAATGCACAGCACTACCAGCGGACCAGCCCCCTGCTGTAGTGCATTGCACAACTGTGTGTCGCCCAAGGGCTACAGAAATGGATATGGGCACCACCCTACGCTCTGCACAAGGGCACGGGAGACCTTTCTTTCTACATAGGCCACACCGACTTAATTTTATGGATGACATCCGCACGCGCATTGATTTTTGCCTGTTCTCAAAAAAAAAAGACCATGCCCACTGAGGCTCTGGTCTCAGGCTCTAGGCCTGAGTAGTCCATGGTACTGATGGTCAGCGACAATACGGAGCCGGGTACCCAGGCTACCGAAGCTCCGTGACTCAAGAACCCAGTGCATACATACAGTGCCGATTCATACATTCCACAAGTTTGGCGGTCTTCAGGGGATGTCATCCATAAGATTAAGACGGTGTGGCCTTATTGCCCGATACACTCACTTCTGTACTTGCTGGAGTGAATTTACCAAACTTTTTTTTGTGTGGCAAAACATGTCAGGAAAAAATGGGTTACAAGTTCATGTTATTTCATCAACAAAGCTGTATTTTTGGCAGTTTCCTCTCTTAAACACTATATACAAGAAAGGTACTACGTGTAACAAGTAAAACAATTTTATTAAGACAACATACGAGCCAGATTTCTAGTACATCTTCTATTCATATATTTTTCTTGGAATGTCTCTTACAAACTATACTACATGTATTCTTATATATTGTACATCTTGTATTGTACAAATAAAGTAACCACTAGCAGCTTCAGCCATGCTCACCCAGATGTATCTAAAAGCCCAACAATGGGATACAAAATAGACGATGGGCATTCACTTCTATTTGGTGACAAAAATTTGCTTGTGTACAGAAGCATTAAAGAGTACTAAATATACTGTCCAAAGGTCTAGGTTCGTGTGTGTAACATTTAGAACTCTTACACAGTATGTTAGTGCCTTACAGTCCAAGTTGAAGTTCACAGATGTTACAAATCTTAACTAACTTGTGTTACAAACTAGTGACCAAAACTCTACTGTTAATTTTAACATATCCATGTACAAAATGTATCACTGTAAATTGATGTGTACAGTTTCATCGTGCTGTCTGTATGTATGTATAGACATGTATCATCACCTTTTTGTTATAGGCCATAAGCTGAAAAGTAATAAATTTTGTAAGATTCACAAGTTGTCGTTTTTATTGCTGATTCTTATAGATATTGCTGGACATACAATATCACCTTGTCCACCTAAGGCCATACAGCAAGTAATTTTTATGGATGACATCAGCGCGCGCATTAATTTTCGCCTGATTTTGGGAAAAAAAAAATTTGTTGCCTTCTGACAGGCTCGTTCTGAGTGGTCAACATGCCAAAAATGGAAATGCAAAGATGTCTGTTGCATGCCATGTCGGAAGGTGGATGGCAAATAACTTTGAAGAGGGGAGACAAGAAAAGGCTCTGATTTAATATTGTGTTTCTTACTTTGATGCAGTGATGTGTGATGCTGTCTGTGTATATGTGATGTTCCTACTGAATCGAAACCATTTGTACAATGATTGAGTACAAATTTTTAATCGTAGGAACCTTGTTTTTTTCGGCCCGCCTTGTTTTTTTTTCGCCCGCTCACAATAGATTTGGAATCTGCTGAGGATGTCATCCATAAAATGTACTTGCTGTGGCCTAAGTGAGAATGCTTACCACAGTGGCATAAATATTCTACAAAGCCATTAACTATTACTGCATGAAAGACCTCATGAGCTGTTCAGCATAAAGCCACCTACATGTATCAATACTTCTTTAGTATAAAAAGCTAGTCAGGCGTTTGAACAAATATACTACTTACAGGCATTCGTCATAATCTTGTACACAAGCTAGCATATTGGCAGAACATACTGCGCCTGTGTGAAACCTGTACATCATGCTTACATATAGTCAGAATGTCCTCTCTAAAGTTGTATTTGTGCATTTAAGGATGACATCCTGTCTATAATTTTCAAGTGTTGTGTCAGAAAAGATGTCGTCTGCAACAAGCGAAATTCTGATGCAACGTTCAACGAAAACCGTGAAAAATCTGGCTTTCGAACAGGCACAGTACGCTCTGCCAACATGCTGCATTAAGCCGATTCTTCATTGAATCTTCACGTTCCGTTGGACAGTCTTCCCCTGGCCATCAGGCCTGGCGATGTCTGCGTGGCGATGGTGCTCAGGGCACGCGCTTTCCTACCTCGCTTTGCAGCTCCTGAAAGAAAAGCAAGATTCATCTATTTATATTCAAATGCAACAAAACATTACACTGACTTACAGGCAGCTAAAGTCAACAATTATACATACGGGGACTGTCCGACAACAAGTAACGTTACATAAGATTACAATAATTTCTAATTAAACCAGCTTACAGTTTTAAAGTCGATATCACACTCATATTCAAAAGACACCATATAAACTAAGTACTGTAAATCAAGTAAAATACAAAACACTTAAAACAAACATTAAGCTTGTTTACAGTTGGGGCATCATCACTACAAAGCTTGTTTACAGTTGGGGCATCATCACTAGAAAGCTTTAAACAACTCCTGCAATTAAATGTGCAAAGATTGGGTGTAACAAGTCATTCGGTGTGATATAGCCAGTGCCTGCGAAGCTGGTGTGTTATGCCGAAAGGGCGTTTATACTGGCTATAGTGATACAGATGCAGAAGCTGGGCCGAGTGAAGGTAAACATAATGCATTATTTTGCTTTGCAAATGTTACCTCTCTTGTCTGTTTTTCACATTTGTACTCCAGAATTCTCAACAGTATTTTGCAACAGAAACATGTTGAAACATTTCCAGTATACCAGTGATACCTGCTTTGGACTTGGGAGACTTAGACGCTGGAGACTTAGCTTTCCTTGACGGTGCTGCTAGAGGTCAGAAACAAAAGAAAACAAGATTCATAATAACAGGAATTGTGAGCAATCTTGACATATACCAGTATCCCTTTTTTGTACATACAATGCCAGCTTACTATATGACACACTTGACTCAGTGAACAGTGGATCATTAAATTTTGTTGCAAAAAGTCTGTGCCCATCGCCCCCCCCCAGACACACACACCTTCACAGAGTCACGTGTGTCATCATTCTGTATAACTTGACATCACAGAAGTGGTGAAGTGCTCTGCTTGTACAGTCGCAAATTTGGGTAATAACAATTTTTGTGTTGTAAATTACAACTTAAATTTGCTTCGTAAGGACTTTTACCTAGTCTCCACCAGACTCCTTTGCAGGCTAAATAAATACTAATAGTAGAAATTGGCCTAAAAAGAATGTAGCTAGCCAGGGGAGTCGGCCAGCCATCCTCAAACTGGACCCTCTATGGCCGGCCAACTCCCCTGGCTAGCTACATTCTTTTTAGGTCAATTTCTACTACTAACAGTATTTATTCAGCCTGCAAAAGAGTCTGGTGGATACAGCCAACACAGATAGACTTTCAAGATAATTTCAACTTACCTTTTTTGGTCCGTGCAGTTTTTGGTTTTGGAGGAGGTGAGTCCGAGTCTGAATCGTCGACCGTCCTCTTCACGACTTTCTTCCTTGGTGCTGCTCTTTTCCTCGGGGGTGGCGAGGCTTCTGAGCTATCTGATCTCCTCTTCGCAGCTTTCTGCTTTGGGGCGGGTTTCTTTTTAGGGGACGCAGATCGAGCTCTCTTTGGACTCTGAACTTCATCATCTGTGCTGGATTTGATTACTGCTTTCTGAAGAAAAAAAATTGCACACTTTGGCATCACAAAACTATAAAAAATTCAACTACAGAATGATGATATGATGCTCCTACCGTAAAAGTTACTGGAGATTCTTTGAAATGAACAAGGAAAGAACATTTTGACCATAGTCTGGATTACCTTCTAACTCTGCTTTTACTTTATACAAGAACAAACTGAATCAATTGCACATAGATTTTGCATACAACATTATTCCGATAGGCAAAATTTGAATTGGGGTGCATTTTACATGTACCTTAACTTTAAAAACGTCTGTCAAGAACTCTTGTTTTGTTCCAGTCATATAAAACAAAGATTCATTTGTTTAAAAGTTCTATTGTCCACAAACTATACTTATTGTCCACAAATTATATAGTTCTATTGTCCACAAATTATACTATACTAGTTAGTATATATACCTACCTTGCCAGACTTCGGTTTTGCAGCAAGAAAGTCAAATTTCCCGTCATCCTTTGAACCTGCCTTCTTCAGGGCAGACGTGAACAGGCCCCGGAGATAGTCGTAGTCCGGTCTCTCCTTATATCTGCTGGAGTTTAACACTAGAGCACTGGTGTACTCCAGATACTTCCGCACCTCATCTGTAACAGTACAAAACAGGGGAATGTGTACTTCAGAATCTGTACTTTGTATTTATGTTTACCGAAGGAAATCATATTGTTTTTACTACGTTTCTTCTTCTTCTGTTCCAAACACTAATCTTTGACCTGGCCAATGGCCTGATTTGTTGATGTCTGTCACCATGGTAACTGGTGTTGGGTTACATAATGTTGAAATTTTATAGGAGGGATGTAGACTTCTGTCTGACCATATATATGAATGTACAATTGCATTTGAGTAAGAAGAGCAAACCATATGCGAAGGTAAACATTATGCATTTGCTTTGCAAATGTTACCTTTCTAGTTGTATATGTACTTTTGTAGATGTAGAAGATATGTTTTCTGACATAGATATCTTAAGCATGTCTACATATTACACCTGCATGAAAACCGAGTTTTTCATGATTTTCATTCTATGTTTCATCAACACTGACAGAATTTTGCTTCTTGCAGATTATATCATTTGACAACTACATGTAGAGATGTGATGTCATCCATAAATACACAAATACAACAAGATGTTCTGCCACAATTTTAGTAGCTAGAGAAAAAATTGTTACCTGGGCAGTCCCCCTTTGGAAAACAGGCCTTCAACAAAGATGGAATGTTCTTCAAGTATCTGTGGAGCAAAGGAAGCAAGTTTGGTCAGACTTTGGTAAAACCAAAGATACAAGAAAAAACAAGAACAAGAGGGAACAGTCTACGCCTAAACAAAAGATCAGTGAACAGCAGCAACAGGGTCGTAACATGGTGGAACAGTCTACCCGAGGAGGTGGTAACAGCCCCAAGTGTGAACAGTTTTAAAAATAGACTGGATAAACACATGAGAAGCCACCCAGTAGTGTACAACCCTCGGGCATTGGACAACCCCCACAAGATGACCATGTCTACGCAGTAAACTACAAGGAGCGGCTCACAGTGGAAGAGAACTTCCTACCGAGACAAAAGATTTACTCTACTCTACTCATAAAGCCTGGTGTGTCAAGTATGTCAATGAGCAAGTAACTGACTAGAAAGAATATGCATAATGTTTACTGCCTTCATGTGATCTATTCTAACAAACTACTGCTGTTGGATGCCGAACGGGGTTGCTTCGGGAGAGGCATGGGGGAGGCCATGTGCATCGGGGCGCTTCGGCCGTCGCTCGGCCGGGACGGGGGGGCGATATCGACTTCAGACAACCTTTGACCCTTTGCTGACGTCACACGTGGGAAAAAATCACGTGTCCACAGCATTTGGGTCAGATAGCTGAGGAAGACTGAGTGATTCCGTCGAAAATTTCTGGTGAGTCAAATTTTGAGTTGGAGAACAGTTTAAGTTTTTCATAAACTACTGCTCTGTTTATTCTTAATCAAACACGTTCATAAACTAGTATATGGTGACCAGCCCCTACAACTCTGGCATGCCACTTGCTACATAATGTAATCCAACACCACAGGGTGAAGAAGAAGAAGAGCAAAACTGACTGAGTTGATAAGTTAATAAGTTGCTCATCCCCAAAGAAGCCAAGTGACAAGCTTCACTGGGTCAGTCTACTGAGGAAGACCAGAATGACTGGTCGAAAGCTCTAGGTGAGAGAACTTCTTTGTGTTGGATCAAAAGTTTTAACTTGAAACACATAACTGCCAACACAGATGAACTTTCATGATAAGTTGTTTCTTACGTCGATGAAGGTTAGACATCCAGGTAATACGATACGCCAAAAAGCAGATACTCAAGCAACTGGATATGATTTTGAAAACGTCAGACGTTTCAGCTAGTATCCACTAGCTTTC